AATTTAATGTTTAGTGACAACCAAATACTCAAAAATACAATACCAGTAATTTTATCATTAGGCAAGTTCTGATTTTAATAATTACAGTGTTTTAATGCATAGCATCGAGTCATCATCAGGTAAGAGTTACATTCAAGAAGGCAGTTGAATTCCAGAGAATACTCCAGACTTGTGATGTTAAGGATAAGATTGTAGATAGCATTAAATTAGCTTTGTTAGTAAAAATAAGATGTACAAAATATTAATAATAGATAAATAATAAATATAAATAAAAATAAAATAAATATAAATAATAGATAAATATTAATATAGATAAAGGAGGATTCCTGGGTATATATTTAGTATTTGCTTAGATGACTTTATCAGCAGCGCTTCAGATATGTTTATTCTGTTGATGCCTGGATCTCTTCAAATGATTTCAACATTGTTTTTGGTGATATGTTTTGTTTCTTTAAGATGTTCTTTAAGTTTAATGTTAATTTCTTTTCCAGCATCTCCAATATACAAATGTTTACATGAATTATATTTAATTTTGTCGATGAATCCATTGTTTTAATTTTCAGTGGGGTAATTGTTAGTAACAAGGTTTTTGTTTATGATAGCTAACTTCTGTATGATATGGTACCTATGTCAATATTGTTTTTCTTGGCGAGTCATTTTCAGAATCCAATTAGGTTTGTGCGGATGTGTTTGACATAGGGAATTGTATTGGTGATAATGTTGAAATTGTTTTAATAACAATTTTGTATTTTTTTTTATTTGTTGATTATTTTCTTAATAACTGGTTCTGGATAGTTTTTTCCTGAAAGAATAATTCAGAAATTCATTGCACTGCATCATCTATATTTTTTGCAGAGCATACACTAAATGCTTTTTGCAAAATATATTTCTAGTTTCCTAGTTTTTGCAACATGTAGATTGCAGATTCCCAATTAAGGTAGTGTTCTGAATTTGTTGCTTTTCTGTGAATTTTAGTATCAAATTTTGATTGTCAATTTCCAAAAATACAAAACGTGAAGGATGTCATGCACTCCATTCAAGAACAAAAATTATTAACCCTCTTGATACAGGTTGATGAAAGTCCACATGCCACAAAGTTTTAGTAAGTTACATCCAAAATTTAATTAAACTACTTTATTTTCATGGTATACCAATAAATATAGCACAAAAACATAGCTAATAATCCATATATTAATAATATATATGTTTTAAGTTCTTAATTTTATAAGGCATTAAAAAAAACCCAGAATTTCCCCATAGCATAAAAATTATGACATCTTCTCTAATTTATTTACCACTCCCAAAGAAATACAGAATTTAACATAAATCACTCATTATAATGCTGTTATCACTCAGGTTCAAAAGGTAATAAAACAATAAATTTAAGTATAAACAGATGTATACTGTTACTAGTCTAAAGCTATTTAGGATAAACAAATTATTTTCATGTTACAATTTTAAGTGATTCTAGAAAGAAAAAAAGGCTAATTTAGATCTATTTCAATTTTTTTTTGGTGGTTAGAGGTTGTTTGAATTGACCAAACTTGTATAGACTCAAAATATAGTTAGAGTACAGAAAATAACAGAAAAGATACAAAGTTTTACTGAAAAAAAAGTTTGAAACTCATTTAGGAGATTTTAGAGATTATGCAAATGAAATCTGAGATTTTTGAGATGAAGTATTATTAAGTATTATTAATCTTAACATGGAAATTATTTTGCACTTGGACTATACACATTCATGGACAAATCTTTAGTGAAAACACTACATTAAAAAATCAGATCTTTTGTTTACAAAAGACTTGTAATGATTACTAAAAATCTGTCAAATTTTGTAAAGATACACATACCATATTAAAAGTTATAGTATGGAAATATAATGAGTACAAATTGGTTACAATGTTGGTCGAATCGACCAACCTCATAGTGAAAGAGTTAAGATTTTGGGTAGAGAATATAGCAAATAAAATATAAAGTTTTACTGCAAAAAAGTTTGATATTTGTTTAAGAGGTTTTAGCAATTATTCAAATGAAATTTCACAACTTTCAGATAAAGAAAAGTATATTTAATCTTAACATGAAAACCACTTTGCATTGAGAGCAGTCAACACTCTGACTCCATATATGCATGGGTAAATTTTCAATTAAAATACTTAATTTAAAAAAAATTTATTTTTTGTGTACTAAATACTTGTAATGTTTACTAAAAGTTCCCCAAATTTCATGAAGATGCGTTATATATTTTCAGAGTTATAGTACGTATAGCTTCCCGGTTTCATGGTGGTTATGAGGCAGTGGTAGATAAGAACCTATTATGAGAGAGTTAATAAATACTTTGTATACCATACATACTGAAAAGCAATACATTTAAAGTGAAAAATTTCTAGCTATCAAACTAAAGTCAACAGATAATACATTTAAAGGACATCCTTTGCTAAAGAATATCACAGAAATGATAGAAGTTAATAGCATAAGACACCATCATATATTTGAAATTTGAATTTACCAATGTTTTTTTTCACAGTTTCCTTAACCACATTATGGTATGTTGGATATACAAGACTGTTCAGTTTAAGAGTTAGTGTTTAGTTCATTTAGTGATCTAATATTTAATGATTATTTAGTTTTAATAACAAGAGTGTTAAAAGTTGATTATTTTAAAAGTGATAGTTATGACACATTTTGTCATGTAACTTTGTACAAATTGTACATATGTAGCTTAATTGTTGTACTAGGATTTTGTAATATTGCTGACATCATCTTACTCAAAGATTCTAAGTTTTTACTGTTATGTGTAGATAGAGGGCTAGATATTTCTAGATTTTTCTGTCACAGATTATAAATAAGTGAAGATACAGAGAAGAAGTAAGTTAAGGTAGTGAATGTTAAAAAAGTGAAGTTAGACTGGGTGATCATGAGTTTAGCCATAAAGTGTGTATAGTGTCAACTATTTAAAGTATAATCATCACAGACTGTGTTGTAAGAGCAATGTAAAGAAGAATATTCATTACATCAGCTGTGTTCTAAAGTAACTGAACCAGTCTGTGTGGACTTTTATCATAAAAGATAATAATTAAAGCTCTGGATACAACTGTGGTAACCCACAGGGTAACATAAGTGAATTTAACGCTGATTGTGTTGTAAAAACACAGTAGAGAGGATATTTTGTCTTGTCAAAGGGTGTTCTAAAGTAACTGAACCCACCAGTGTGGATGTAATTGTGATAACTAATAGTGCAATGAAGTTTTGTACATACGTTTAACTTGTTTTGAATATATTATTTTAAAACAACTGGATTGTATGCTATCTATTTGTTTTGATATACAGAAACATCTGTTAGCTCAGTTCTTGCACAGATCTTAAAATATAACGTTCATAAATGGAAACATTGACTGTGTGTAAATATGTAGATCTTGAAAGTCGAATTGTTCAAAACTTGAAAATAGCATTGATAACTGGACTAATTGTTGGTTGAGATGTTGCAAAAGAATACCTAAGGACCTGTTTATTGAACTGATGAATATTGCAACACATTCGGTGGAATTCAGCTTTAATGATATCATGTATTAACAGATTGATGGAGTCACCATGGGTTCTCCTCTTGGACCTGCCTTAGCCAATATTTTTGTTGGCTCTAGTTACCTGCTCAAAATCTAAATTAGATTTCGAACTGAAGACAATTAAAACCATTTTACTAGAAAAGTGGTATCCAAAAACGTCATCAATCAAATTACTTCAAGGAAAATTGCGAGCTTCTCAAATATCCCAAATTTGGTCCAACAAGTGCCCTATTTACCTAAAACTACCATGGATTGGTAACATTTCAACAAAATTTGAAAAACAATTGAAAATGGCCATTA